CTAGGTGGATGTGATCTGTGGGGTAATATTTGTTATGTTTACCTCAGTGGTGGCATTCTGCATATGGACACTGGTCACAGAGGGACTGCTTTACCATCCCATCTCATCAGATCCTCCTTTGGTTGAACTTGAGCATATTTCTGTCATATCAGCTCATCGATTGTCCCTTTCTTACATTCTAAACAATTGGAGGCTGTTTTTGAAGAGATGAAAGAGCTGTGCTAAGCAACTGACCAACATATTCTTGAAAGTTTAAAATAACAAACACAACAAACAAAAATGTTCTTTGCTGGTCCCAGTGCCCAAGGAGATTTTCCTGATAGATCACTTCTCAGTATAAATTACCATAATTCCACCAAATTAGTCAATATCTGATATCAACTTATCAACAAGGGACATTTTGTTAAAAACAAAATATATTCTCAACCTCAGTCATTATTTTATTTTTATTTACTTACTTTTTAAAGACTTTTTAGTGTGTGTGTGTGTGTGTGTGTGTGTGTGTGTGTGTTTGTGTGTTCAGATTCCCACAGATGCCAGAGATAGTGGATCTCCCTAAAGCTAAAGTTATAGGAAATTGTGAGCCACCCAATGTGGCAAAGTGGGTGCTGGGAATCTACCTAGGATAATCCACAAAGCAATACGGTCTCTTAAGAGCTTAGCCATCTCTTCCAGTTCCTCAGCTATTTTTTTTAATGTCCTAAATAGCATGGGCTTGCAAAGTTGAATGAACTATGTATCACTTTAAGTGCTACCTTAGAAATAAGGGTTGGCCAGATGGGACAGTGGATAAAGGCACATGCCACCAAGCTTGATGACCTTAGTCCCATTCCCTGAAATACATGGCTGAAGGAAAGAATCAACTCCTACAGACTATATTCAAACTCCCACACATGTATGTTACCTTTTAGCAACTGGTTTAATTAGGCTTTCTATTGCAGTGAAAAGACACCACGATTGTGGAAACCCTTATAAAAGAAAAACATTTAATTGGGGTGGCTTACATTTTCAGAGGTTTACTCCATGATGACATGCAGGCAGACACAGCACTGGAACTGAGAGTCCTACATCTTGATAGCAAACAATAGGAAATGGTCTGACACACTGGCAGGTATTTTGAGCAGACGAGAGACCTCAAAGCCCACCCCCACAGTGACGTATTTCCTCCAATAAGACCACACCTATTCCAACAAGGCCATACCACCTAATAGTGCCACTCCCTTTGGGGTCCACTTTCTTTCAAACTACCACAGTAACCAACAGCAATTAATAGCTTAAATTACTCATTTTTACAATCTTGGGTGTTCCACGGCACCAGAAAAGGACCAGACTTTCCTCAAGTGTCTTTGTACTTATCTTTTGAAAAAGCCATCACCGTCTCTCTGTATTGGGGGTTGGGAGGAGTAAATCTTCATTGTCAATTTGATTTAATTTGGAGTCACCTAGGAGACACACTTCTGACTGTCTCTTTGAAGGTGTTTCCAGAGAAGTCTAATGGGGGGATGCTCATCCTGAATGTAGCAGCATACATAGTCCCACGAACTCCAGTCCCAGGGCAACACAGTCCCACAAACTGCAGTCCCAGGCTGAATAAACAGCAAAAAGCAGACAGCAGCAGAGCGGAGCCCCTGCATTCTCCGTTCTCACTGCCCGATGCACCCAGCTGTGGGAAAGTTCCTGCCAACACAGCCTCTCCTGCTGCCATGCTTTTTCCCCAGCAGGATGGATTACAGTCCTGAGCGAGGAGCCAAAAACACCCTCTCCTTACTTAAGCTGCCTGTTGTTAAGCAGTTGACCTCAACAACGAGAAATGTAACTGATGAACAAAGGTTTTAGAAGTCTGTGTACTTTGGGGAAATGCAAGCTGCGTCTCCTCCCCCACTTCTTCCTCCTTCACCTTCTTTTCCTTTTCCTCCTTCTCCTGCTTCTCCCCCCTCCCCTCCCCTCCCCCTCTTCCTCCTCCTCCACCTTCTTTTCCTTTTCCTCCTTCTCCTGCTTCCCCTCCCCCACAGTTCACAGGGAATACTTATAAGGTCAGGAACCAGTCTGTAAAGCAGACATGCACACTGCGAATCAAGGAGTAGTACTGTTACCACCAGCCTGTAACGTAAGTTCTAATAGGTCTAATAATAAAGGCCCAGAGTCAGATAAGGGGAAATGCTGAGAGACAGGAGAGACAAAGGAGCCACCTTACCTACTCAACTTCCCAGCCAAAAAGAGCCTGAGCTCCTGTCTCCTCCCGCCATATCCTGCCTCTCTCTGCCCAGCCGTATCACTTCCTGTCTGTCTGCACAGACCGCCAGACCTCTGTGGTTAACTAGTGGCTAGGTCTGCCCTCTGATTAATTTACAGTACAAACAAGATATCACCACGTCAATCAACAGAGAAGACTCTGGATGCCTAAGAGCCAAAGATCCATCTATGACCCACACTAGGACTACCCTATCAGAAGTCTGAGCTCCAGAGAAAGGACTGTGTAGAAATGTATCACAAGGCTGTGCCTGGCCTTCTTCCCCAAAAGAACACAGCGATGGTGACTGTAGTGAAGAGGAGCACCTCAAGGGACAAGGAACACAGGCACAGCTTGACCATGTCAGGCCCTGGAAGTAGCTGTGTGTGTGTGACACGGAGAAAGCAGCAATGGTATCCATTCTTTTGTTACAAGCAGTTATCAAAGTTACCTGGAAGAGCAATTTCCCTTTCAGAGAGTTTCGTGTGATGTTCGAAGTCTGTACCAACAAAGCAAAGGAAGAGAAAGAAAGGAATATAGGGGTGGGGGTGGGGGAGTCTGTCAACAATGGCCGGGGGCCGGGCTGTGCATTTCCATGTTCATGGAACCTTACTCAAGCAACTGGGATAAGTGCACACAGATTGCAAAGTAGCAAGGAAACTATTCAAGAACAAGGCCATAGTACAGACCAGAAAGAAATACATTGACAGGCTCTTTCTGCTCTTTTCTCTTCCCCACTCTCTTCCTCGTGGTAACCCCTATCTCCCTCTTCTCTTCTGTCCTCTCTGTGTCTCTTTACCTCTTTTTCTTTTTCCTTCCCCCTCTCTCCCCTTTCTAACAAAACTTCTCACTTAAAAAAAAAAGAAATACGTTGACAGAAGTAACATTGGGCTACCTGACTGAGGGTACTAAAGGGCTCTGAATATTGGCTTCCTGGTATAGGCCATACCCACTCCAACAAAGCCGCACCTCCTAATAGTGCCCTTCCCTATGAGATTATTGGGAGCCAATCACATTCAAATTACTACATATATTAAGACACAATAGGTAGAATTTATAGGAGCCATTCGTTTGAATGGAGGCTCAACAAACAGAAGGAAAGTGTGGCTACTGGTGCAGGAGTCCCAGTAGCCACCAAGCCCTCTGACCAGCCAAGAAACAAGGAGAGGGAATGACAACAGCCAAACCCCAAAGGAGGCAGTGATGGTCAGAATGAGGAAGCCTCTCCTTAACCTTAAGAGGAAAATAAGTTTTAAAGGACCTTTATTTGCTCATTTATTTATTATGCATACAGAATTTTGCCTGCATGTATGCCTGCATGCCAGAAGAGGGCACCAGACCTTATTGTAGATGGTTGTGAGCCATCAGATGGTTGCTGGGAGTTGAACTCAGGTCCTCTGGAAGAACAGCAGGGCTCTTAACCTCTGAGCCATCTCTCCAGCCTCCAAAAGGCCCAGTTTTGTTCTCTCTGCCTTACCTAGTCTTTTTCCTTCAGTAAATCTGATCTCCATTCAGCTCATCAGAATATACTTCATTTTATACTGTATGTGGCTTGATTCCTGGAACTGCTGATAAAAGACAGTTTAGAATAAATTTGTTGTAATTTGTCTTTTGACAGACATTTTATCTAAAGGGGGGGCACCACCCGTTGACACTGCAAGGGCATAAAAGGAAGTTCAGAGGTCTGTGACCTTCATCTACTGAAAGAGAAGCCATCCAAACACAGAGGTCCAGGTCTGTCATCCCAGCTACTCTGGAGGCGCAGACAGGAGGGTCAGAAGTCAGAGTCTGTGTGGGCCACAGAGTGAGTTTAAGTTCAGCCAACTAACTCTATGAAAGCAAATAGCAAAATGAAGGCTGAGGGTATAGCTCAGAGGTCCTGTGCTTGCCTAGTGTGTGATAATTCCTAAGTCCTTGGTTCAGTCCCCAGTAGCATGGGATAAGGGAGGAGAAGTTTGCAGTGTGGTCTGCTCCTCGTGGGAATTGATGCTAATCCATAGATTGAAAGCAGAGGAATCACAAACCCTGTAGAACACAAAGCCCACATAAAGTCCTACGTAGAACACAAAGCCCACACTTTTCTTCTCAACTAATATCTCTTAGTCATTCATAGAAATTTCTCCGAGGTTCTCATGATAGACCAGTCTTTGTATATGGTCCCAGCTCAGGATATTGTGAACCATCAAGACTTTTTATTTCTTCATATGTATTTTATTATGAACTTGCAAAAAGCCACACAGGCCACAGTAACTACATGCAAGCTTAACTACATCCAACTATTATTATTAAATCTGTTTTCCCCTAAGTCTATTGTTTGCAAATTTGGTTACCATATCTTTGTTCTCATTCAAGTTCATAGTGAAAATATTTGAATAAGTTGGGGTCATGGAGAAAGCCCTCACACAAATAATTAAGGTTTTTTTCCCATTGAGCTGACACTGCCTCACTGATTAACCCACAGTGTTTTTGTAAGGAATTTCCTGATTCCTTCCCTTCGCATCCCTGCCTTGCAGCTGAGGTCACCTAACCTCCATTTATGGACTTGGCCTCATATTCGTGCATGAACAATACTAGGAATCTGATGGTCTCCACACACAGCTCTAGAACTCAGCCTTGGGTCATGACCCCTCTAAGACAGCACTGGCTCTCATGCAAGAGCTAACAACCAAGTTCTAGCCTTGGGGTCCTTCTCTAAATTACTTTATCCATAAACTTTTCCCCTTTAATCCATATTATCTTTCTGCTGAGTCTCAATAGAAGGTGGTCAAGCTTGAGGTCTTTTAATGTACTTTTAATTGTAACCTCCGAGGCTACAAAACAAACATTAGAACAGCAGTTCTTCAACCTGTGGGTCACAACCCCTGGGGAGGGGGGGGGTCAAACGATCCTTTCATAGGATTGCCCAAGAACATCTGAAAACACAGATATTTACATTACAATTCATAACAGTAGCAAAATTACAGTTGTGAAGCAGCAATGAAAACAATTTTATGGTTGGGGTCACCACTACTGTACTAAAGGATCAGAGTGTTAGGAAGAGTGAGAACCACTGCATTAGAAGCTTGGAATTGATGCTTTTTTTCTGTACCGTCAGCTGGTTTGCCCTGGCCTCTCACTATCATCTGTAGCTGACTCTAGCCACACCATCCATGCTTTTGTTATGTCCCAACATTTTTACTAAACCCTGCCCTTTCCTTCATCCTCTTTGCTTTGTGGTCCACAACCCACTGGGCTTTGTCACATGTCCTTTTTTTTAATGGTTTTTCAAGACAGGGTTTCTCTGTATTGTTTTGGAGGCTGTCCTGGAACTCGCTCTGTAGACCAGGTTGGTCTCAAACTCACAGAGATCCACCTGCCTCTGCCTCCCAAGTGCTGGGATTAAAGGCATGCACCACCAGCGCCCGGCCACAATGTCTTTATTATGGCATTATTCTCATAAATAATTTGTAATTGTATGCATTTGTGCAGTACAAAGTGTTATGGAATATTTTTTGTACACTGTGAAGATGTGTCTTTGCCAATGTGCCTTCTGATTGATTTAATAAAGAGCTGAATGGCCAATAGCTAGGCAGGAGGAGGGTAGGTGAGGCTTTTGGGTAGAGAGAGAGAGGAAGGGGAGATGAATTTGGTATGGGGAGATGACAGAGGAGAAGGAAATGGGAGGTGCATGATGGAAGAGAGGTAAAAAGCCACAAGGCAAAACATAGATTAATATAAATAGGTTGACTTAAGTTATTAGAGCTAGTGGGGCCAGCTATAGACCAAGCTTTCATAATTAGTGACACGTCTCCACATCATTTTTTTTTGTGAGCTGGCAGCCCAAATAGAAAACCTGCTACAACAAAGTATCATTATAACTTAAGAGTATTATGTAAAATAAGTAAGTTAATTGCTGAGTTATCAGCTCTAATATGTACTCTTTTTTCTAGAGAAAAAAATCTGATGCTTATTCTTCACTAGTAGTTTATTTATTTATCCATTAACTCATTTGCTTATTTATTTGTGAGACAGGGTCTCATGCTGGCCTCAACCTTGCCAAAGTTGATGTGTAACTAAGGCTGATCTTAACTTCCAACCTTCCTGCATCTACGGGGCTGGGATTACAAGTCAGGCTCTCTGGAGAACAGAGTGGATGGAATGAAGGCTACAAAGGAAATGTACTAGATCAGTTTATATGAATGAAGTGTGCAGTATGACAATACCCCCCCCACACACACACAAAAACACGCGAGCATGTCGTGAACACCTGGTCTAAGAACTGATAGTTGCTACTTCTATGAGGGTGATGCTCTCACAGCTCCACGTGACAATGGAGCTCTGGAGGATTTGGTCCACATTGGAAGGCTGAACAAACTGGGTTTTGATGTCTGCAAAGGCTGGTGGCAGCAGTGGTGACAGGAATGGATAGATTACAATCCCCAGAAGGTAGAAAGGCGGCAAGCAAAAGCAACAGTTTTGCCCTCACTCAGTTGCCTTCCTATCTGGACTGCCACTCCGGGGGAGGGGTGGGACTTCCTCTCCAGTTAATGCTTCCAGGAAATGCCCTCTTACCCACCCAGAAGTGTATCTTTCACTTATCCTAGATCCCACTGAGTTGACAACCGAGATAAACCATTACAATGGGCATGCCAGTGTTCTCCTAGCCTTACTCTGTGACAGAGATGTTGAAACAAAGAACAAGCCTTGTTTGCATACTTGACTTTGGCCGTTCTGTCCGCGTTGAACTCTTGGCCTCTGGTAATCACATTCTCCTGTCCCGTCCATGCAGTTGACTGGCTGGGTCCCTCATGCACCGTCTTTGTGAGCCTGTTCTTTGCTTCTCTCATTTCTTCCACGGTGTGCAGTTCCATCCATGTTGTCCCGAGTGGCAGCCTTCTTTCTAAGCTTGCCTAGCGCCTTTGAAACGCCGTGCTTGTCAGCCGGCTCTGCCGTCCTCCGGCACCTTGTTTCTCATCATCACCGCGTCTTCTCTTCAACAGCTTCTCATCTTGTTGACTAAAAACATCACAAGCGATTTTTATCAAATGTTTGCTAATGCCTCCTGACATTTCATTAAGATCAACTCAGACAGCATACATTGGTATTTATTTGAAACAGCCTAAGCAGGATTGTGTCCAAAATGAGGGGACAAAAATCGTCTCTGAAACTCCCTGCCAGACGCTTGTTCAGTGCCTAAATGCTGGACTCATTGCTCTTTTTTTTCAAACCAGGAAATTGCTTGTGGTGGATTTGAGTGCTGAGCAAAAGCGCACAATTGCTGATCTGTGGACATTTTCCCCCAAACAGCACAGTTGCGGAAAATCCAGCACAGTTGCGGAAAATCGAGAGCAGGGCAATGTTCTGAACATCTTACACCCACAGCCCCTCTGCAAATAAGCAAACGTGAGCTAACAATGGACATGCAACACGGGATTAGGGAAGCAAAAGCAATTTAGCTGACAGGTTTTCTTTTCACTGGAAATGTTCTCTTTTGAGTTTTTGGGGCTGAAAGCGGATGATTGTGTTAAGTCAGGCAACAAATTAAATGTGGATGTTAGCACTGCAAAGGGAGGAATCTTGCAGAAAAGCACATCTGACTCATCTCATCATGTGCAGATATGTCACGGCAATGTCTAGGGAACCATTCGACTGTACACAACCCAGATGGCTCCACCAGAGGGATCCTGTTCCCCTGGAGCTCAGAAGGGGAACTGAACCGAGGGGAGAGGAACTATTTTGGTGGCAGTCAAGGTATTTGCACCTGGAGGTGATAAATTATCAGCCACTGTTCTCTGTTTTGCGGCAGGAGAGAGAGAGAGACAGAGAGAGAGAGAGAGAGAGAGAGATAGAACTGATGAATGGCACGGGTAGGGTCATGTCCCTTAGAGCAACTGCATGGAGGGGGAGAGAGGAGAGTCAGAAATTCAGGGTCATCTTCAACTACGTATGGAGGCTGAGGACAGCCTGGACCTCAGGATACCCTCTCAAAAGACAGACAAAAGAAAGGAAGGGGAGGAGAAAGGAGAGGAGGAAAGCGTGGAAAACAATGTTAAGTTTTTGTTAGCAGCACTGAGAAGTCCTGGACAAAGGATACTGTGCTGTGTGTTCAGTACCATTGCCTTCCTTGCCTTTCCCAGTAGTTGTGTTAAGTACAAACACCCAACATTTTATGACCATGAAAAGTGGAGCTTTCATAGGGTCTAGTTTAGTAAAGGCAGAAATGAGGTTCAAGTATAGATGCCAATTGTGTGTGTGTGTGTGTGTGTGTGTGTGTGTGTGTGTGTTAGACTCCAAATAACCACACAAAGACTTATTACTAATTATAAATGTTCTGCCCATAGCTTAGGCTTGTTTTTTTGTTTTTGTTTTTGTTTTTGTGTTTTTTTTAGCTAGCTCCTATAACTTAAATGAACCCATTTCCATTCACCTATGTGCGTCCTGAGGTTCCTTTACCTTATCTACATACTTCTCATGGGGTCTCCTCCTTTCTTCTTCCCAGTATCTTCTATGTCTGGTTGTCCTGCCTATACCTCCTGCCTAGCTACTGGTCAGTCATCTCTTTTATTAAACCAATAAGAAGGCACCTTAGCAAAGATAAATCTTCACAGTGTACAAAAAGATTATTCCATAGTGTGTGTGTGTGTGTGTGTGTGTGTGTGTGTTGTGTGTCGTGTGTTTGACACAGTCTTAGTGTACCTCAGGCTGGCCTGAGACACATGTTTTTTCATGTCTCTGTCTCCACAGCCCAGGACTGCTGGTGTGTGTCACTGTGCTCTCTGGTGAGGCACTGGAAGACATGGCATTTCTATGCAGATGTGATGAATTTTGAGTGTTGGTAGGACTTTCAACGAAAGGTGCCTGGCAGGCCATAAGAAATGAAAGTGAGGTTCAGGAAATGATGCAGGATGGAAGATTGATTCCTGAGTCACTTGTTGGAAACTACAGGCTAAACTTACGTTGCTACCCTTAGTTCACCTGAACGCTGCTAGCTCAGGTGTGTCAAGTAACAGGAATCGAAAGAAAACTTTAGCTGGGTGCAGAGGCACACTTCTCTAATCACAATAGTCAGAAGGATGGGGCAGGAGGATTCCTTGGGTTCAGTGCTGGGGAATTTGACCCTTTACCCTTATGCCCCTTAATCCTTGCTTTACATCATTATCATCATAACTATTGCTGGTTTTCCTCAGCCTTGATGTGGCTGAGCTGTCTTCTGATCTCTGTCGCCATAACTACAGTAATCTTAGGTGGTAAATGCTCTCAGACTCCTTGCTCCAAGAGCTGAACTTTGGCAGGATTCGATATTGCCTGCATCCCTTAGTGACTAACAAGGAAGAGACTCTGATTGACCCCCAGATTCTAACCCTCATGCATATCACTGCTTTCTCCTGGCAGAAGGATGTTCTGTCCTCCTACCTTTGGCTAATTTTACAACCATTTACTGAGTGTTTTCTTTAAGACAGTGATGCTGAAACAATGACTTAAGAAGTTCCCCCCTTAAATTCAGATGTCATGTGTTTTCTTTTTCCTTGTCACTCTCAAGACATCACTATTCGAACCTGACACACTTAAGATGGAAGGTGACTTTACTCATCAAGGAAAAGATGTATTTAAAAGAATGTAATACACAGACAATGCTTTCGTTTTTTGTTAGTTTGTTTGTTTTCTTGTTTGTTTGAGTCGGGATCTTGTTATATAGCCATGGCCTTGAACTCACTGCAATCTTCCTGCCTCTGCCTCCCAAAAGCTATTAGGATTATAGGCATGTACTGCCACGTCTGCTACCGATTATTTTTTCATTAAAAAAACAACTTACATACTAGAAATATATTTACATAGAACAGTTTAAATAGCATGATTCTCTCTTTCTCTCTGTGTGTGTGTGTGTGTGTGTGTGTGTGTATGTATGCATGTACAGCAAACACTGTAGGAACCCATGGAAGAGGTGGACCTTAAGGGTGAGTGGGATTTGATAGGAAGAGGGTAGGACCTAGAATGAAGACAGAACTCAGCATCTTTATCTCTGACCACTATGAGTCAAGCACCTCCACGTATGAAGTTATTGGACCAAGGAAATGTGTAAGCCTTTGTCTTGCTCATGCAGAAGACCCAAACAAATGATGAATACACAGCGACACAAGTGGTACATAGTGCTCAGAGCAAGAGTCTAGATAATTTTTCAAAAGAGCTCACAGACCCTGAGCTCAAAGGACTCACTCGTGACGATGACAGATTTGATAAGGGAGGCACTAAATGCATTGGGTGCAAAGCTCAGAGTCAACAAGGAGGACCTGGAGACTGTCTCCTCATTTGCGGAGGCAGACAAGAATCCCTTAGAGGCATCAGAGGGCACTTCCCGGTAAACAAAAGTCACATGTGCCAGGAAGGGCAGAGCAAGCATCTTTATGGAGGTGAGGCTGAGTTGGAGGACACACTCAGAGTGAAGGAGAAAGAACCGTCCTGGGTGAGTCAGTTGCTGATCTGGCAATCAGAACAGCCAGGGCTGGTGAAGTGGCATGGACAAGGCAGAAAGACCATGTTCTGAGGGTCTTTATGGCTGTGCTGAGAGCTTGGACTTGATGGTGAGCCAGGAGAGTGATTAAGCTTTGAGCGGCTGTGAGAACTAGACTCAGGACCAGCTCAGATTTTGTCAACCCTCAACTGTCAGACTGGGGAAGTCTTTCCTCAGTGTGAGTTTGCTGTTGCCTTAGTCTGTTTTCTGTGACCATAACAAAAGCTGCGAGGCCAGGTAGTATCCCAGCATGAACGTTTTATTTGTTCCCTTGTTTTTTTGTTTTGTTTTGCTTTGTTTTTAAGGCTGGAAAGGCAAAGGTCTGGGGCCAGCCTCTAGTGAGAATACTTTTCCTGCATCAAGCATGATGAGACAGGGCAAGCATGCAAGACACAGCTAGGTTTCTGTCGCTGTGAGGAGACACCAGGAACACAGCAACTTTCATAAAGGAAGACATTCGATTGGGTGGCTCACAGTTTCAGAGGTTCAGTCCATTATCATGGCAGAACATGGCAGTGTGCAGGCAGACATGCTGGAGAAGGGGCTGAGAGTTAACACATCTTTATCCAGAGGTCGAAGGGAACTGTCTACCATAGCTTGAGCAAAGGAGACCTCAAAGCCCGCCCCCACAGAGACACACTGCCTCCAATAAGATCACACCTACTCCACTAAGGTTAAACCTCCTAATAGTGCCCCTCTCCATGAGTTTATGGGGGTCAATTACATTCAAACTAACGCAACTTAATAACAAAGTCATTTCCAAAATGACACACTAAGTCATACAAATCTGTGAATGAGCTAGGCCCACTTTTCCACACTGCTGTACCACACCCTGTATTAATTAGCTTTCTGTTGCTATGATAAATGCCATGGCCATAAGCAGCTTGGGGTGTGTGTGCTACTTACAGTTTCAAAGTGGATACAGTCCGTCTTGGTGGGACAAGCATTGGAACAGGAGGCTGGCCTGGCATTCAGGATCACATTTCATCTGCACACAGGTAATAGAGAGAACAGGAAGTGGGGTCAGGTTACAAAACCTCACAGCCTTCCCCAGTGATGTGCTTCCTTTAGCAAGTCTCCACCTTCCTAAAGCAGTGATTCTCAACTTTCCTAATGCTGCGACCCTTTAATACATTCTGTGGTGTTGTGGTGACCCTCAACTATAAAATTATTTGGTTGCTACTTTTATAACTGTGATTGTGCTACTGTTATATTGGGGGACATTTGATCATACTGTGAACCTCGAGTTTCAATTTGTGTTAATTAAATAAAATAACCCTTGGGTCAGGAGGCTGTGTTAGCAACTAGGTGACAGAAAGTAACCATAGAGCATGAGAGGGCATCCAGGAGAGAGAGAGAGAGCCACAGCAAGTAGTAGAGAAGGATTTGGAGTGGCACAGATTTCTCTAGTTTGTCAAAGCAAGCTCGGGTATAACGATAAATTTTCTTGTCCCGCCAAGTCCTGCCGCCATTTCAAGCCCCAAAGAAGCACACAGACACTATATTAGTTATAAAGCTTTTGGCCGATATCTAGGGCTTCTTATTGGGTAGCTCTGTCTTAATTACTAACCCATTTCTATTAATCTATGTATTTCCACGTGGTCTTATTTTACTGGGGAATGCCGGACCTGCAACTCCTTTGCCTGCTACATGACTGCTCAGTGTCTCTACAGAGAAGAGAGCAATGTCCTGTTTGTCCTTGCTCATATCCTGATTCTGCCCAGCTACATCACTTCTGCCTGGCTGTACAGACCTCCAGACCTCTATGGTTAGCTAGTGGCAAGCTCCATTCTCTGACCCCGAGACAGGCTTATTTGTGCAAGAGAGCTATCACTACACATGGGTCTTTTGAAGATGCCAGCAAAGATAAGTCAGCTAGTTGCAACCCAGCCTCTCTGAGCTAGCAGGTTTTTACCCCAGTCTTTGAATCTTGAGTTATATTTATAAATAGAATGATAGAGATTTAGTTAAAGCTACCTTTAACAGCAACTTTAGCAACGGCTGAGCTGATGCCTGTAGGAACTGAATTTCCACCCAGCTGCAGCCTGAGCAGCCAGGCAACTGCTAGAAAAGGAGAGCAATAACTGTGGAGCTGCAATTGCTGGCTGAAATAGCAGTAAATCAAGGTATATCCACTGTGCTGAATTTTTAAAAATCCTGTTATGAATCATAATGTAAATATATGATATGCAGTATATCTGATATGTGACACCTGTGAAAGGGTGGTTTAATCCCCAAAGGGGTTATGATCCACAGGTTAAGAACCACTGTCCAAAAATTTTCATAGTCTCCTAAGCAGTGGCAACAGTCAATTGAATGTTCACAAGTACATGAATTCTCCTAATTACTTTTCTGTTGCTGTGACAAAACACCATAACCAAGACAATTTATAAAAGAAAGGAGTTTAATTTGGCTTTTGGTTCCAGAGGGTTAGGGTTTATTGTAGATGGAGTTTTCACCTGGTCCCACAGCCATTTATCCCCCATATAAACACACAGAGACTTATATTATAAACTGTTTGGATGATGGATCGGGCTTCTTATTAGCTAGCTATCTCTTAATTATTAACCCATGTATTTCTACATGGTCTTATCTTACCAGGTAAATGGTGTCTCCCCCTCGAGGCTTCTCTCTCTCCTCTACCCAGAATTCTCCTCATCTGGTAGCCCCACCTATACTTCCTGCCTGGCTACTTACTGTTCAATCAGTGTTTTATTCATCAACCAATAAGAGAAACCTATTTTAACAGCATACAGAAGGACATCCCCCATCAGTTTATGACGGCAGAGCAAATGTGTGGCAGCAAGTGGCTGAAGCAGTATCTGAGAGCTCACATCTCAAACCACCATAAGCAGGAAGCAGAGACTGCACTGGAAATGGAAGGAGGCTTTTGAAACCTCAAGCCCACCCCCAGAGACACGCTTCCTCCAACAAAGCCACACCTCCTAATCCTTCCTAAACAGTTCCACTAACTGGAGACCAAACATTCAAATATATGAGCCTCTGGGCAGCATTCTCTTTCAAATCACCACAGCTACTAAGTTTCTAACACATGAAAACTAGCCTCATATTCAAACCAATGAAGCTGTGATTCGTGTTGTTAGCAGTCAGAGAATAATAGATATGAAGCTCCATTCAACTGGCAGCCTCTGATTATTAGTTTGCTGTTGTTCTTTTCTTGAGACAGGGTCTGGCTATGTAGTACTGGTTGGCCTGGAAGTCACTATCACATGTGTAGCTCAGACTAACCTTGAGTTCGAACCAATCCTCCTGTCTCAGCTTCTGGAGTGTTAGGATTATAGGATGTGCCTGCACATCTGTTTCATACATACATGGAAAACACCCAGGGAATCAATTGTTTTCAGAGAGATAACTTTGAACTCCAACTTATACGGCATCTTTAACAACAAACAGTACATTTTAACCAACACACTAATACAGAGGAAAAGATTTGGCATGTCGCCTGGCAGTGGTGGTGCATGCCTTTAATCCCAGCACTCGGGAGGCAGAGGCAGGAGGATCTCTGTCTCATAAAAACAAAACAACAACAACAAAAAAGATTTGGCATGTCTATGAGAAGTTACATGGGGAAAGCAAACAACTGTTGGACAAAGGTCATTTGGTAAAGTTGATGAATCTATATTCTTCTTCAAGCTGTCTTTGTTCAGGTTTGTTTGTTTGTTTTTAATGCAGGGGCTCATGGAGCTCAGGCTGGCCTTAAACCCCACGTGTAGTCTGAGGACGACTTTGCAGATGCTGCAGTTACAGATGAGTGCCACACACCCAGCCCCAAGGTGCCTTTAGTAGTTAATCTTTTTCTCTTTGGTAGCTCATGGATACTGGATGGATGGGAAGCTGCAAGTTCTAAAAATCAGTGTCTTGCTTTTGCATAGAGTGGGGTGTGGGAACACCAGACCTTGAGCAGAGACCCACTTCCCCTTCGGCCTGGGAGTAGGCAGCTGTAAGACAATGTTTACTAAAAACATGTTTACTAAAAACAATACCAATGCCCCAGGCAATAAGTTCCTGGAAAAGGCCTGCCCACGGAAACCGCCCTGACCTCGACCTTGCCCAAAGACTAACCGCCTCTTCTGACACGCCCAGATCAGTTTTTGGTGTCAGAGCAGAACCAGCCAGGGTAGAGGAGAGAGCAGAAGCTTCTCTGGAGGGAGCCTTTCTTAGGAAGTTTTTCTTGAACCTTTTTGGGGCCTGCTTAAAGTTTTCTTTACATCGTTGAACGAGTCTCTGTGTTGTCAATCCCCGACACCCTCCGCACATTCTCGGACACAGGCCGCGCGGCAGACGCGACAGTGGGATGAGACAGCTGCCTGGAACCATTCTTTAGCATTCTGATTCTCCACAGAGACCTCCAAAGTGGAGTCAGATCTGCTCTGGATTCTTTATTGTTGTGGAACAGTCTTTCTACACTCTGTAAAGAGGTGTTGCTCTCATTGGTTTAATAAAGAGCTAAATGGCCAATAGCTAAATGGCCAATGGCGGGTAGAGGTTAGAAAGGAATTGTGGATTGAGAGAGAGCATGGGGATGAAGAAGGGCAGAGCTCCCAGGAGGCACAGGGAGAAGCAAGATGAACACCCCATACTGAAAAAAGGTACTGCCATACGGTGGAGCATAGATAAGAAATACGAGTTAGTCTAAGTTATAAGAGCTAGTTAGTAAAAAGCATAGGCTATTGTCAAGGCATTTATAATTAATAATAAGTCTCTTAATTTGGGATTTGGTTGGTGTGACAGAAAATTCCACCTACACTTTACATAAGTATTTTTTAGTCCTTTCTCACACCTTCTTCTGCAACACTACTGCTCTATGGCAAGTCTGTTTTCCTGAAATGAAACCTCAACATTCTGTTTGCAGAATGCTTATTGTGTGTGTGTGTGTGTGTGTGTGTGTGTGTGTGTGTGTGTGTATGCGTGCGCATTGCTGAACTTGGCTGTGTTACCAAAGGACTGAAAAATCTCTGTGCTGCCAGCAACACTTTTTTAGTTTCCTCAGCTGTGTAAAATTCTGTAGCCAGACTGTCATCGTGGTCATGTTCACTGGGACCTCGTCTATGCTGTCCATCTGTGCAACTGTTTAAACATTCTTTCTACATTGCATTTATCACCACTTCCTACAAATGATAACTGATGTGAAAGTCACAATTGGTTTTAATGTCTCTAAATTCCAACCAAAGGTACTTTCCAGCAAAAATTTCCATGATTCTGAGTGTGTATCAATTTCATATCATGCAAGATCAGAGCCTTGGTCAATATTATTTTTTCCACTGGGAGACTGTGTAAGGCAGGCGATCTCACTTAAGCTAACAAATATGTATCCTTCACAATGGAAGAATAAATAAAAGTATGATTTGTGAATTAGCTAATGGTTTCTTCCTGAAAAACTATTAACCTCTTCTCTTCATCAAGAACTCAACGTGAGCTTTAAGCATTGGAGAAATTTGAAGCTGTGATAATTTCTGAACATTTGTTCTCCATCTTCATTCCCTTTTCCTTCTCTGAAATGTTCTGCTCATGCTTGTCTCCTTTTCCACTGTCTTGTCCTCACCAAACATTTCCGTATTTCCTACAAAGAACTGGTGGTAGGTTTTCATTACTGGAGTTTAAAGCTTGATATGGTTCCAGTTTGAGCCTATAATCTCAGGATTTGAAAGATGAGGCAAGAGAATCGCCTTGAGTTTGATGCCAGCCTGAGTTACATAGTGGTAGCAAGGCCCACGTCAGCCAGAGCTACACGGCAAACCTCTCTCTCTCTCTCTCTCTCTCTCTCTCTCTCTCTCTCTCTCTCTCTCTCTCTCTCTCTCATTCTCTCCCTCCCTCCATCTCTCCTTCCCTTATTCCCCCACTCAAAAAGCCAGGCTTGACACAGTCCTGTAATCCCAATTACATGGGAAGCTGGGGCAGGTGGATTTCCATTTCAAGACCTGTCTGACTACAGAATGTTTAATGCCAGCATGGTCAACTTAGCAAGAC